TTGCTGAAAAGCGTCTGTGCCAATCTAGACGCTCTGTTCCGAAAACGCTTTTAACGGAAAACTTTTCTGTTAAAAGCATTTCCGGAAAATCATGCCAATCTAGACGCAGCCACAGTGTTTAACAGTACTAGCACAAAACAACTGTAGGCTTCCTAGTCATTGGTGCAAAAAGCTGCTTGCTTTCCTGTCGTATGTCTGTAAATAAAATTGAAGACACAAAAAATATTTTCAGTGAAGGTTGAAGAACAGGGGAAATTGGCCACCTTTTTTGCATTGCTTTATGTTGCATTTTGTGGGAGGCAGTCTGATCTTAGTAGATCCAGCACTGGATTGGGAATCAGGAGACCTGACTGCTCTTCCTGGCTTTTAGTAGTTTTTGCAATGGTATTCCATTATTGTTTCAGTTCCGTGGGACTTCCAAAATGACAGTATACTAGTACATTGTCTAAAGTAACTTTCTCCTTTTTATTGCTCCTCTCTTTCATTCCTCAGAAGGAATATAGATGCTTTGTGACCTTTACTAAGGTGCATGCAGTAAAAATAAGGATATTTGTCTCTAAATCTAACTCATCCAGGGGTATAAATGATCTGGATAGTTGTGCCTTCATTAATACAGTCTTGTTGCTCTGAAAACAATTTTCAGGCTAACCAGTTGGTCAAAAGCAAGTGTTTGGAAAGCTGTGTTAAATGTGTGGTGCTGGAAGAATTGCCTCCTTATCAAATCGATACTTTGGGAAGGTATTCAAAAGTATTTTACATTCCAGTAACAGTATTTTACTGACTTTTTTCTTTTCTTTTCCAAGATTCCCATACATCTTTTGGACCCTCAGTTTAAATGAAAGACCTGTTACTGATAGTGTATAAAAGACCAGTCTAATGAGCTAGCACAGTTGTGACAGGGGTATCCAACTGCTTATAAAACAAGGTACGCATTCAGTATTGTCTTAGTGAAGGAGCCGTCTCTGCCATAATTCAGTGAGAAGCAGTGTGGTGGGAGATACCACACCTGGGTTAAGCGGTAATAGGAAGTGGGACGTTTTAACTACTAGGTTTCTAGTTCATACCTAGGCTGGGTCAGCAGCCATTGTGGAAAGTGGTCAAAGGAGCAATTGACCTCAGAATTGTCATCATGTGATAATGGTTTCTGTCCAGCTGATAACAGAGTGGTTGTCAGTTTTGCAGACGTCATCACTGAGTTATCACCCAATCTCTTAATCACCCTTTTCTGTGATGTGTGGTGGTGAAGAAAACTTTTCTGTTCCATGTACCACCACAAGTAGCTATTAATTTACATTCAGGCCTTTGTTTGGAGAGGAGACCACTTTTGCCTGGATAATGAATGATCTGATGGTTTCAAACATCAGCCAGTAAGCAAGTCCATTCATGCTGAGCCCATGACTGATCAAGCCTTGCTGCATCAGTGACTAAAGGATGCTGCTAGTAGGGATGTTAAAAAGTGGGTAACTGTGTAAACGTGGAACTGCTGAAAAACTCAGCAGTTACACAAACCCTCAGGTGTGCACACTGCTTTTGGGGAGCTGGCTACCTTCCCACATTGCTGCTTCTGTATTCGTGGCAGCAGTGCAAGGACAGCAGGTGGCTCCCTAGGAGCCAGTGCATGTTGGAAGCCAGCTTTTAAGCTAGCTCCCCACGCATACTACTTCCCCATATTGCTACTACCTCTGTTACAAAGGTGGCAGCATGGGTGGCAGATGGCTCCCACTTGTAGCCCTGCTCCTGGGGAGCTGGCTGCTGCCCTGCACTGCTGCCTTCAATGCAGCCAGCTCCCCATGAGGAGGGCAGGAGCCTATGTCTAAACGTGAACGTTCACCGATAAGCCCAGGCTGCATGTCTAGCTGCTAGTTTGTCTGGAATGGCTTCTCAGTGATCCCGGTCATATTGGGAAGACAGTGCAGAATATTAGAATTAGTCTCACTGGCAGATCTGATAGCCAAGATGTTTGGATCCTGCTTGCTTGCTTCCAAGGCTCATTTTTTATGAAACCTGGTAGCAAGATACTTCTAATCTGGAGGGAAAATGTACTAGGGATATAATATCCCAATTAATTAGTTAACCAGTTAAACATTAGGTGAACCTAATGTTTAACTGGTTAGCCAACTAAATGGGATCCAGTTCTAGGGGCAGCTGCCACTTCCGGCGGCAGAAGGCTCCCAGCACCGAGGCTGGAACTGTTGCTACTGCCGGCTACTGGTCCCACTGGGGGAGCCACGGCTTCCACTGGCAGGCCATGGGCAGGGGGCTGCTCCCTGGCATTAGTTAACTGGTACCTGGTAAGCATTACCCGGTCATATCCCTAGAATGTACCCAGTAATGACAATGTACAATTGTGATTGATTTTTTTTTTTTGTCCCGTTAACTCAGGTTCTGCCTGTGTTTTTGATAACTCTAAAATGGCATTTCAGCGGAGAAGATTGCACTGTGAAACTGAACATTATTTATTCAGCTTTAATATTAAAAGGCTAATCTGTTTCCATAACATATGCCATATGCTTTAACTTAAAAAAAGGGGGAGGAGGGTCTAAGCCGCTGACCTGTACTTTAGTAGCCTCTAGACCATGTTTTGGTATAAAATGGAGAGGGTTGAGCTAACTGAAAAAATATGTGGAGGGAGGAAAGTTTCTACAAAATGGGCCTCGAAAAGTTAAAAATTAAAGCAAGGCCTTTTCCTTGGGTGTGACGTTTTAAATTTACCAGCAGGGCCTCATGGTTATGAAATGTGAAATATGGGTTCATGTCTTTGAGTTACTGAAGTGTAATATTTAAATGAGGAAATAGTTTGTGTAATATGCCAAGAATCATTGAACATACCGTCCTCTTGTCGGCATGAATGGGTAGCCCTTGGGCACCAGCTCCATAGAAAACTAACTTGTTTCTGCTCTGAAGCATCACAAATAGCAGAGCTGAAATAGAAGACCTGATTCTCTGGTGTACTTTGGCCACTTTGTGCTGTGCTGGCAGTGAAGAGGGATGCTCATGGATTAAATGGCTGCAAGGAAATGGCACATACCCATCATAATACCTTCGGTGTAAAATAGAAAAAAGGGGAGAAGAGGGCTGAGTGCAGCTTCCCCTTCTCTGCTAAAAGCAGGTGGGGATTCCTCCTCCTGACCCAGGCTGCCAGAACCCTCCCCCCCTTTAATTGTTTCTTGTCTGCCACCTGTAGCTAGGAGCCAGGTAAGGAGTGGCAATGTGATACTCTTCCAAGCGTGGGTTAGGAGGAGAAGCTCATCTGCTTTTAGCAGAGAAGAGGGACCGAACTTTAATGTAGGATTTAAAATAGGGGAAGTACTGGGGGAGGAAGGGAGGAGAAAGGGAGTTGGCCATGGTGTAGAGGAGAAAAGGACAGGGCCAGGGCATTCTTATTCTCAGGGCTAGAGCCAGGACCCACCATGCCCCATATCTGAGAGATGCACATCTAGCTTTGATGGCCCTAGATCAGTACTGACCACAACATGGCTAAACCAAGGTTTTGAAGACGTGATTCTGCCTTTCAAGATTCTAGTAAACCGATTTGGTGTTTATTGCCTTTGCTACTGTCCAGATCAAATTAACTGAACATAGATGCATAAATGTGTTTTTCAGCCCTGCAACTCAACCTGGGATTTTAAAGCAGAGTGATTTCTTTCTATGCATTGCCACCAGTAATAAATTGACAGGCCAAATTCTGCCTTTAATTACATCTCAGGAGAATATTTCTATTTTATGCTGCCCCTTACGATAGAATGCCCTTCTGGGACTGATCAGCAGAACTATATGAAGTCTCCCATAGCCCACCTTCCCCATTACTCTGAGAAGATCACCAGTATACGGTGACTGAGGGACAAATGAATCTAATTGCCTCCCTCTGTCTACAATTAAATGTGTGCACATGCACATACAAAATGTATCTGTCCTCTCAGGGCATTGGTTGTCTCTTTTAGAGTCACTACTTTTGTACAGGGACAGCATCTTCAGAGATAGTGCACATCTTCTATTTTAATACTTAATTACAAAAAATAATTTATGCCAAGGCTTGTAGAAACATAGATTTAGGCAATAATTTACTTGATACCTACAGTTTTCCTTTAGTCTTTCAAAAGGGCCTAGTCCACCTTGACTTAACTGGGGAATTTTACCTGAATAAGGACAACATGATATTTGTTCTTTTAAGTCATGGCGGGGAACCTTTTTTGGGTTGAGGGCTGCTGACCCACAGAAAAATCACTTGGAGTGGGGAGGAGGCTATACACAAATGAGAAGTAGCAAAAAAATCCTTGCTGATGTGACCCCCAACTGAGGAGAAAGACACTCTTCACATTCCCTGTGTACATCAGAGCCTAGGAGGGACCCAGACTTGTAGATTGTGTGTGCTCCAGCCCCACAGTGGGTCAGCAGAAGGGGATGTAGTGCCAGTGCAGGCTCCCCAATGCTGAGAAGGAACCCTAAGCCTCGGGGGCTGGATCCAGGCAATCCTGGGGCCACATTAGGCCTGCCCACCCCTTTTGAGTGTAGAAGGAATATTGAAAGTTAATGAAGAATGGTGATCAGAATGGAGAACTGGTTGCAAGGCTTAGGAGGCAGCATCACTGCTCGTTCTCTAGCACATATTGCTGCCTGGAGGAGTATGACAAAACAGTAATAAACGTTCTATTCCATAACAGAGAAGAAAACTTTGTTCCAGACTTAGCTACAAAGAGAAAACAAATAGTAATGCATTTAGAGCATTCTAAGGCGTTGCAGTACAGGAGGTGGAGAACAGGGACCCCTTTTTTAAAAAAGAGATTAATTTATTCATTCTTGTGTATGCAACAAAAACATTTAGAAAATATCCCATTATATAATGGTGTCTGTAATCAGCTCCGTCTTATGCGCCCTGCTTAAATATGCTCAAACCCTCCTACCTTTTAATTTCCTAATATTTAATTATAGAAACTGTTTGTAATCCGCATTTAAATAATTTCTTCTTTGCGTGTGTGGGGGGGTTCTCTCTTTTTTTATAGCTGTACAACTTTGGAGAAACGGTTTCTATAGTTTTTTGGACGGATACGTGGAAACCAGAAAGCTTTTTTGACAAGATTCAGAAGAACAAGAAGAATGGAATGCACACACTGTGCTTACTTGGTAAGGGACAGCTGTCTGTTCTGCAACTGTTTTCTTGTATGACATCCAGAGGCGATGGTCATGTAATACATTTAGAAAAAAATTTGAAATGTATAGTCCTGAAAATAGTCCTCAACTTTGATATTTGACTTAAGCCAAATGGCAGTTACGGCGTTTATGAATTGACACGGATTCAACTTAACACTGTTGGTTTGGACTTCGACACTCAGTCCTGTAATGGAGTGGATTGCAGTTCCAAGTTACAACTTATGATGCAGTTCTCAGGCACCACTCATATCGTAAGTCTGAGGACTACCTGCATATCAAAAATTGCATCTTTTGTGTAGACCATATGTGAATTTAGAATTGGCTTAATGGCCATAGCTTGTTTCATGATGGTCTACAATTTCTAAAACGGAGTCAAGAAATTAAAGAGAAAAAAAGAGGTTCAGTAGCATTCATTAAAATACATCATGAGTTTAAGGACAAATATGTCCTGTTCAGGCTCCACATCAGATGGCAGTAATTAGCTAGTGTCATATTAGTCAAATTTGTTGTATTTAATTAATTTGAATGTCTTTACAATATAACAGTTACATGTGTACTAAAAGCACTATAAAGCATTGATCTAAAACAGATGACTGGATTTAACATTAGCAGTATCCTCACTAGCTCCCATTGTTTGTCTGATCTTTTTATTTACCCTGATCCTGTAATCCAAATCTTAAACCCCAATGCTGGATACACATAAGCCTATGCATAATTAGCAACATGACACACAGTTCCCTTGGCTTCAATGAGCCTGAACACATGCATAAAATTACATACATGCTGAAAAGTGTGTGGGTTTGAGCACTTGGTTTGTTACCGGTTCAAGAATGAGACCAATTCCATCTGTCTCCAGGCTTGAGGACAGAGCTGTCAATGTTTAACAAATTAATCATTTAAATAAAAACATGCATTCTCTCTGGGGGTTGGAAGAACCTTAGTTCAGAGTGTACAAGTGTCACTGCATTTCTGGCTGACTTTCCAGATGCTCAGAAATTTGTTTTTCAGAGGTGGTTACAGTCAGATCTGATAACTTTTAAGCTTGCTTAATTAAAAAGTTCAGACAGAAGAGAAGCAGGAGGGAGATAATTTTTCTGTTTACTCTGTATCCATTAGCATTCAATCCTTTGCACTGTTCCCCAGGTTTGTAACGATTTTTAGCAGCAGCATGGGAGAAGACAATTTTGTAAAAATTGCAAAACTAACATTTTGAGAGAAAGGGAGAGATTCATGACAGGTGTAAGACTCTAACTTTAAGTCACATTTGAAACTTGATAATTTCAAGTTGTGTTCTTTTAATACCACTTGATTGTTGTCTATTTGATTGTCAAATTTTATTAAGGGATGTTTCACAAATGAATTATAGCAAAATGCAGAAACAGTTCTATTTATAATACAGTTCTGATAGTACTGTAAACTTTAACTTACGATAAAGTGTAGCTGTAGTTCCCACTACTTTGTTTTGGATTATTTTCTTTTTAAAGGCCAGGTCATGCACAGATCTGGTTATAAAAACCTTTTTCTCAGAATTTCCTTGGCAGAGCTTGATGCCAAAATCTGAACAGCTATTTTAAAACTAAAAACATACCCGGTTTACCTTTTTTGGCACCGCTTTTTTTGTTTTTAAACACATTGAATAGATTTAAAATGAGTGGTGTGTCTCCTGTCTCTGTAATGCACTCTGATTTGAACACTAAGTTAAAAATTGAATGTACAAAGAATGTACTTTTTAGTGTATAATTTCCATTGCTGCCTATTAAGAATGTTAAAATTAGAGCAATCAGCTAAATCGAATATATGGAATTTCCATTGACTATTTGATTAGTCGATAAGAGTGCTTCCATTCTGAAATGGACAAGAGCCCAGCAGGGGCTCTTTTCAAAGATTGAAACAGCGCATGGTGCCTGGGGCTGAGTCCCTCACTAGTCCCATGGAGCACTTCCACTTTGAAATGTACAAGAGCCCCGCAGGGATTCTTGTACATTTCAAAGGTGGAATGCCACCAGTGTGCCACTGCCCCCTCCCACAGCTTCCCCAGCACCCCTTCCTCTCTTCCCCCCCCCCCTTGCTTTCTCTGACAGAGGTAGCAAGGCAGGGGGGATGTGACTAATCAACTAGAGCGTTAACTATCTGATAAGCAAAAGCTTATTGGATAGTTGATTAGTTGCTTACATCCCTACTGACTGTTGTAGAACCCGAGTGCTTGTCGAGATATTGCAGACCCCTAAGCCCCCATATAGTTGCACAGTTGCTCCATATTTAAAATATATAAATCCAGAAATTGAAGCAGGAAGGAACCTCTAACAAGGTGGACTTCAGCGTGGTGGTTAAAGTGAACAGTGTCATTCAGATATGCTGCTTTAACCGTCTGACCACTGAGCTGCAACTGAATCTAGAATGTCTGAATGAAGTGTGCCATACCTCTGGCTTGCAGAAGCTTACGTGATTGTTTTGCAAAAGTATCATTGAAAAATTTCAATTGTGACAAAAGCTCATCTTTGTAGTAGAGGGTGCACCTCCCTGGTCTAGCAACCTTGGGACCTGAGTGGTCCGGAAGGAGGGATTTTGCTGGACAGGGGGAGGTCATTTCTGCACCCCTGCCACCAGCCTTGCTGCTCTGCCATGGCATCCCATTTCAGCTTCACCGCAACAAACCACTGCCCTGACAGCCCTACTGACAGAGCTCCGGGCTCTACTGCAGCAGACTGCTGGCCTGCCAAAGCCTGCTGATGTTCCTGCTGCCCTACCACCAGCTCAGCCAGACTCCCATGGCAGGGCTCCCAGCCACTGGTATCCCTGCAGCCAACCTGGCTGGGCTCCCAGCCCCACAAGGCTTCTGCCTCTGGCCCTCTACCAGATCTCTCTGGTCCAGCAACAGCCACGGTCCAGCCAGACCATGGATGTTGCTGGACCAAGGAGTCCCAGCGGAGAGAGGCTGAACCTGTACTTATCCACTAAATTTAAATTTAACACTATAGCACTAAGTTTTAATGGCTGTTTTAAATTGTTATTTGCACTAGAATCCTAGAAGTAATGCAATCCCAAGTAAAACTTCATTTGTATAAAAGGAAAGGAAAATGGTTAAGAGCAATTTTTTCTTCATAACATGAAGCTCAGAACAGAGCTGATACTCTTTTGCTAACTATCTACGTGTATAGTTCCCACAACAGCTAAAATATTGCTATTTGAAAAGCAGAAAAAGCCTGCTAATTTAAACTAAGCTCTCCATTTAGACAATTAAGAAAAGTGGGAATATTACAGTACCTCAGATGAAGTCTTTATTGTGCCTAATGAATAACTTCTCTTGCAGACATAAAAGTAAAGGAGCAATCTCTGGACAACCTGATGAAGTGAGTCACTATTTTGAAAATAAATATACTGTCAGCATGTTCTAATGCAAAGTAGTTGACGATCCTTCCTGCTTAGTAATGCTGTACTTACCTGTTCCTTACATAATTGCTCATTAATTAGACCACTTACACTGGGCCCTGCATTCACTGTAATAAATGGGAAGTTTGCCAGTGATTTCATTAGGATTGAGCCCTTGGTTTGCAGTAGTTGCACAATGGTTTTTGGTATTTTGTTCAGTAAGCAAAGTATTGTGTGTTAACTAGCTCCTTTGATAAGGGCTTGTTAAATGAAGTCTTATAATTTCTTCAGTCTTGCAGAATGCAGTCTTTCTCTTTTAAGCAGATGAATGGCTGAAAGCAAGACAGGGCTCTCAATCCTCTCAATGAAACTGCAGCTGGAGTACTGATGTTCCATGTTAAGTCCATTTAGATGTCTCAGAAGCTTGTCATTTGTTAACCATCTCTTTATAACTGGGCCTATAAACTGTTGTTGCTTCAAGATGTGCTGTAATTTTGGCCTACGCTCACATTCAGAAACTTTGCTTTATGTATCCCGAATTGGCCAACTAGCTGAAGAAGGATGCTTAAGAATGATTGAATATATGCCTGCTATGTAATTATCTGCCTACATGATGACTGTTGGGAAAACATGTTATTTAATTTTTTTTCCTAAAGTAAATGCAGACCCTGTAGTTTCCAGCAGTCTCATTTGAATCCTAAGATAGCAAGAGCATGCCCTGCAGCTTTACAAGTGTGCACAGTGCCCAAGGACTGCAATTGAGCAGAAATTCACCCTCCAGTGCACACCTCCCCAACCCACCACAGAACCTATGGAAAACTTAAGCCATGTGTGTTGTGTTAAAGCTGAAATCTAGAATGGAGATAGTGGAATGTGAGTGGTATAGTAACCTATTATTCTGTGGTTTAATACTTTTTGGCACAACAGTTACTTTGTTTTTTTCCACCAGAGGAAGGAAGGTTTATGAGTCGCCACGGTACATGAGCGTGAACCAAGCTGCGGAACAGCTTCTTGCCATTGTTCAGAACAGGAGGCTGCAAGGAGAAGAACTGGGTATTTAATAGTTGTTTCTAGAAGCTAGAGCACCAGGCTTCCCCTTTCTCTGCCTTTACTGAGGAGTCTCCATTATAGCTCAGCTTCTGTTCCTTCGAGTAGCCTCTGACCTGAGTGGAACTGGGCTGCCTTTAAGCCTAGTCAGCTGATCACAAGTTGGGTTTGTCAACTCAAGATGTGAGCTTGGTCCTGTTGGAGTTAGTGGTTCCTTGTGATATAGGCACAGTCTTTAGTTTGGTTAAATAGTTACAGTAATCATAATTTGAGAACCAGCATTGCCATTCATCTTTCCCTTTGGTCCATCAGCTTACACAAGGGGAGGCCCTTCAAAGGGATCAGAATGGATGGTGTATTTACACAGGTTTTTAGAAGGGTTGTAGCATTTTAATGTTAACCGTTTCCCTTTAACTGTACAGTGAACACCTTAATTACCTCAAATTTTCCTATGATAGACACCTAAGTCTATGGTTAAGGATAACATTATCTGAAGTGCTACCACTTCAATGCACAGGACCAGGTAGACAGGCAGAACTGCACTGTCTCAAGATGTGGATGAGACAATGTAGGGAGAAGGGGGTTACGTTTATTAGGAACTGGGGAAACTTTTGGGAAAGGATGGGCTTCACCTACACCGAAATGGAACTAGCTTTCTGGCACTTAATTAAGGTGGTCATATAGCAGTATTTAAACTGTGGGCTGGGGGGAAACAAAGATTTGGAGAAGCGGATGGATCAAACAGATGTCCTTTAAAGGACGGTCTATTAGTAGAGATTCTCTGTGGCCTAGTAAAGAGGAGAGGATAGAAGCTAAGATATGGGTAAGATCAGATGAGAAACAGTCAAATGAACGAGTCCCATTCAATCACATAATGGCAGAGTGACAAGTCTTTAAAGTGCTTATATACAAATGCTAGAAGTCTAAACAGTAAGATGGGTGAACTAGCATACCTTGTATTGAATGAGGATATTGGTATAATAGGTGTCAGGCACTTGGAGTGACGATAGTCAGTAGGACACAGTCATACCAAGATAGAAAATATATTGGAAGGACAGAACAGGTTGTGCAGGTGAGAGAAAGCATGGAATCAAATTAGACAGTAGGAGCCAAACTGTTCCATAGAATCTTTATGGTTTGTAATTCCCCGCTCTAATAATATGAATATAGCAGTAAGGACATAAGCAACCCTCTGACCAGGATAGTGACAGTGACTGAAATGCTAAGGGAGATTAGATAGACTATAAATTTTTTTTTTAAAAAATAGGGGATTTCAATTATCCCCATATTGATGGGGTACGTCACCTCAGAACAGGATACAGAGGAAAAAGTTTGACACCTGAAATGTCTACTTCATGGAGCAACTGGTTCTGAAATCCATGAGGAGAGGCAATTCTTGATTGTCTTAAATGGAGCACAGAATCTGGTCAAAGAGGTGACTATAGCTGGACCACTTGGAAATTGTGACAATATAATTAAATCTAACATCTCTATGCATCCTGTACACAAAAATGAACAGTTACATTTAAAAGTACAGTGCCAAAAATATAATCTCTACAAGCTGCATGGAAACTTTTCAAAGACACCATGACAGAGGTTCAACACGAGAACTCAAGTGCCACCATGGCTTAACCAAGTAAAAAGAAAAAGGCATTTAAAAAGTGGAAGTTAAATCCTAGTGAAAATAGAAGAGCATGAATTCTGTCAAATGAAGTGTAAAAAGATAGAGGCCAAGAAGGAATGTGAAGAACAGCTAGACAAAAATTCAAAAAGTAGCAATTTTAAGTATATTACAAATGGGAAGCCTGCTAAACAGTCCATGGGGGCACTGGATGATCCAGATGCTCAAAGAGGAAAAGGTCATAGAAGAAAAATGGCATCAGGTCATCATAGCTCAGGATGTTTGGCTCAGGTTTGAGAATCTCCCTTTCTTTTTAGGTGACAAATCTGAGGAATTGTCCCAAATTGAGGTGTCAGAGGAAGTTTTGGAACAAATTCTAAGGCACCAATAACAAGTCATACTGAAGACTTAAGTCATTTCACTAGTTATTGGGCAGTTATTTATCCCTTCATAAATTTAGATCAATCCCATTAGTATAAGCAGGCTCGGTATATACACAAGCTGACACATATTAAGTCAATTTACAGAAAATTGCTGCCTGAACTTATATTTGATTTAAAAATACTTACATTATATATTTTGGCCAGATTGACAGTGTGTAACATTTGAATTTGGGCATGAACTCACTTGGCACTCCCCATAACTGAAATTTTAAATTGATCAATAAAAAAATTAAACCCCATATTTGTGGACATGTAAAAAAATTGGAGAAAATGCTTAAGCTACTATTGATAGATCAGTTATACAAAATCAGTTTCTACCAGGGTTATTTAAAATAGGTAGCTACTTTACATTTTCATTGTTACTGAGAGCAGAACTAAAAGAAACACCACATTAATTTGCTTGTGTATTTCTATTAAAACTTAGTTTGATCTTTATTTACAAAACATACATTTTAGAGCAAATTCCCTGTCCTTATGTCTTAGTAGTTGATTTCTCTCCTCTGAGGTCAGAAAGTAGTGTGAAGTAAGAGTCTTCTCATCTAAGCCAAATTCTTCCTACTGGCACTGAATTGAAGGGAGGATTCATTTGAAGGGAACTAGCTCCCCTTTATTACAAGCAGCTTCCTACATTTGCCTCATCCCATTTTAACTACTGTAAAGGTGTGGCTTCTAGTACTGCATTTCAAAGAACAGACTTCCATTTCACATCAAGTAAAGCCAGGTGTTTTATTGCAGTGTGTTAGATTAAGAACAACTGAAACTTAAGACTGAACACTTTGGATAATGTTCATTACTTTCAGTGAAGAAAGGATTGCTCAGTAAAGACATAGAATTTGCTCTCTGGAAACTGAAAAATGAATTTTCCTGAAATTGCTTTTCTTTTTAAATAGAAATTACAGAGAATACACTCTGTGTTGGCCTAGCAAGAGTGGGTGCCACGGATCAGAAAATTATTTCAGGAACCTTACAACAGATGTCCACAGTAGAACTCGGTGGTCCACTACATTCCATTATTGTAGCTGGCAGTCTGCACCCTCTGGAAATAGATATGCTTAAGCTCTTTGCTGCAGATGAATCTAGCTTTGAAGACAATGAATGTCATCGGAACACTTGAATAAAGAGACTTTACTTGTCCTCTGCTTTGTGGCAGCTTAGATTTTTTTCTCCATTCTTACTTTACACATACAAAATAGTGTAGCAGAGTTATGTTCACCTACTTACAACACCGTGGAAGTGTGAACATTCCCCCCTCACATGAATTCATATACTCTGCAGATGAAGACCTAGGACTGCAAAGACAGTGTCCTGCTGGTGTCAGGATCTCTTATTAGAGTGGTTTTACAGATTTGAGATCATTGTGGTGAAAAGCTTCCCCTTCCTAGGCACGCATCATGAATGCCAGAAGACCTAACCCTGGAAAAGGAGAAATGGCCTCTGGCTTGGTAGTGCAGAGGAAAGTTCTGATGAACCTGAGCAAGATGGTCAGGGTAAGTGTGGGAAAATAAATACCTTGCAGCTCTGTGTGTTCTACACTATTTGCATTGTCCCATCAGCTCAAGGCAGACCTGCACCACAGTCCCCAGATAAGGGAGAAAATAGGATCCATGCTCAGTTCCTGTCCTACCCAAGCAATGAACAGTGCCTGGGCAGTCCAGATAGCTGTTTAATATTTGGGTCACTAAAGATGCAATTACTCTGCCCTATTGTGTACAAACAGGGAAGCAAATGTGGGGAAAAATATAACCAAGGGTTATGGGAAATGGCCAAGCCTGTCTATAAACCCTGCTCTGCCTTACAAAATGGATAAACGTGAGAACACTGCAGGCTATGGAACCCACTGAAATGGTGACTGTTAATCACTTGACAATGGCAGGGAATGGAAGAGACCATGTGGTTTAGGTATGCCAGAAGACATCGCAATCTATCATATATAGTGCTGACATCTGTTGTGTGATGTAAGTGACCTAGCCATTCTGAACTGTTGTAAATGTTCAGCTTGATATTAAATTGAAGTTTTTTTAAAAAAAAATCAGCACTACAACATGCATTTTCAACATCCTTACTTATCAGCTAGTCACATCAGAAAAATATATATACAGGGTGTTTTTAAACCAAGTTTTATTGAAAGGAAATTTGATCCCAAATTTTTCAAATACATCAGATAAAACATTTTACTTATACCACTGAAGTAAAAAGATTACATTAAAAATTATATTGCACTTGGGGCAATTCATAATGGCTTCACTTCAGCATTTCTAAACCAAGGTACAGTTTACAGTCTTCACAACTTTAGTCTGCAGTAAAATAATCAAACTTTTTTTGAGATGTTCTAATACTATTAAATTGTAAGCACACCAATAAGAGTACTTCATGTATTTGAAAATTAACTGGAAAGGCAGTTGCTACAAATGATTTTGGCAATTCTTTCCATTCACATTCCTTCATGTATTAGCCCGCCCTCTTGATAGCTATTAATTTCAATTCTTGAACAAGATCCTGGCACATATTACCATTAAGGAGTTTTGTATATGTGGGAAGTGAAATAAGCAAATTTCTTTACACAACAGTGCTTCCACCAAACATTCTGTGTAGAAGAAAATTACCCCCAGGCAGCAATGTACACTTCAGGTGTGGCTCTCTAAATCTGAAAGTTAGATTTTTCTGTATTTGCACACAGAGATTTTCAATTGCTTGCAGATACTGAGAGAATGCCCTGCATTTTTTGGCAAGTACTATAGCAACCTCTGGCCTGTAAAGGCCAGTTATGAATAATCACCAACAGAGGGGGTTTGTGGAAAAGGGGAAGGAAAAAGCAGAAAAAGGTCATGGGGAGGTAGAGGGGAAATTAACCACTGCAAGAGTGAGTAGCAGTATTATTGTATGCAATGCAGCAGCCTTAGAAGGTGGGGTTTAAGACAACCACATTTTGTTTTTGCAAAATGAGTGTTAACAATGAGGGAACTGTTAAATAAAGCTCTTCTATTTTATTCCTTAAACATAAAAAAATGCAGCTGTCATACCAAATATAATCATTACAGCTAATTGAAAATGGGACACGGTTATTCACAAATGAAGATGCTGATCTGAACTGTTACTTAAAACAGTCTTAGATGTATTTTAGGAGCCTCGTGCCTATTTAAAGTTTTATTTTTTGTTTCATATAACTCTGAAAGTCTCTCAAACAGCTGAATTATGCAGTAGCAGGTCAGTAGGTGCATAAAGGTACACTGAGTAGCGTATTGATCTGTTCTTCCTGTAAATTCTATTAAGCAATTTAGCTTAGTAGGTGAAATCTGAAGGAGCAAAGCTATTCAAAAGCTGGTATCTCATTTACATCTCCACAAAACATTGTTAGTTACCACCTGTACTGAATTGGTGGGTATTTCCTTCTTCTCTTCTCTATCCAGGTTTAATGCTTAAAAATTAAAAGTAAAAACAAATCAACTCAAACACAAAGTGCTTCCACCTCTGAATTAGGCTGCTGTGGTATTACCAAAATCCAGAACTATCTACAAGAATTTAGATTTTAAAATTTCAGATACAGAACTTCTCTAATGAAAGAAAGATCAAATGCAGATTACTTCAACAATTCATTACAAAAAAGTACTGGTAAAATGTCTTAGAGGTGTTACCGAGTTAGTCTATAACTAAAAATGAGCAGTCCTATGGTATCTTAGAGACTTACACATTTATTAGGTCATAATCTTTCATGGGGAGGTTTTACCCACAAAACTCATGGCCTAATAAATGTGTTAGTCTCTAAGGCACCATAGGACTGCTCAGTTTTTTGCTTATTTTTGTACTGGTTAAATCTATATTGTAGTGTAGTAAGGATACTAGATCAGTGTTTCTTAAACTGTGTTCCGTGGAGGCGTGCCGTGGAGAACAATAGAGTTCAAAATGGCCTCCCTTGAAGAGGCAAGTGACTTTCTTTTTTCGCTCAATAACTCCCCCCCCTCCCCTTTTTTTTTTGGCTCAACAAAAAATCCTTGGTATGCCTCAAAAAAAAAAATTGTTTGGTGTTCCTTGGTCTGAAAAAGTTTAAGAAACACTGTACTAGATTTACTTGAACTCCTTCTCACTTTGTGCCCACTCCTGTACAAAGTATAACTTTACTCAAGTGTTTACAGGATCCGATTGTAAACTCTTTAGATGGTCTACTTTTGTCCACGTTATGTTCAGTGTGAAGCAACATTGTAGGTAATTTTATACACATTTCTAATGAGTCACTATAGCACCTTGCTGTTATACCTTCCTGGCAAGTTAGATACGATTGCTGGGTTGACAGTTTGACAATTAGAAAAGTGAAATTTAGCAAGGGTTTACATAGTTCCTACTATAATGAAGCTTGTGCTTTGTGAACTTGCTTGAAGTCATGATAGTCTTCAGTCACAAAGAAATACAATCATACTGGCCTGAAAACAGGAGGTTTTAACTGTATGAAAAGAAAACTAGACTAGAACCAACTGATTCAGATTCCTCACCCCCCCATCCCAATTCATTCTTAAAATAGATTATCTCTTGCAAGAATTCAGTCATCTTTGGACATCTAACAGTTTAAAATAAGCACAAAAGATGAAACTCAGATTACTAAAACCCAGCAACTGAACTATAAAACAACTGTAAATAGTCACTGATGTTCAGCATTTCATGGGTTTAAGATGACCCACATGATATATAGCTTTCAACATTTCCAATTCACCTAACAGTTCGTTCGTAGATTTTAAAAAGTAATTGTCACTATTAGAAGCAGGAAGAAAGACTTCCCAGAAGACGTACAATACAATGTCTGGATAGCCTGACTCCTGCCCCTTATAGGCATCCTACCCCATAATCCATCAGATTTAGCGCAAGATTCAACATCCTGAAGGTATATAATGTATGTGTTATCCTTTATACTGCCCGGCTACGTCTACAGTGGCCCCTTCTCCGGAAGAGGCATGCTAATTTCTAACTTTGGAATAGGGAAATCCACAGGGGATTTAAATATCCCCCGCGGGATTTAAATAAACATGGCCGCCGCTTTTTTTCCGCAAGTAGGAATAAGAGATCCTCCAGAAAAGGGCTTTATTCTGGAGGATCGCGCCAGTCTTGACGCTCTTTTCCGGCTTTTCCCCAAGCCGGAAAAAAGCGGCGGCCATGTTTATTTAAATCCCGCGGGGGATATTTAAATCCCCTGTGGATTTCCCTATTCCAAAGTTAGAAATTAGCAGTGCCAATAGGAAAGCTACCCAACCAACACTGTTTGGACTTCATGCTACAGGGTGTGACTTCTGCCACCTTTTGGCCAATTTACTCACATTATTTTAAAGTAAATCTACTCAGCCAAACAAATAAACAACATAATTCTCTTGCTCCACAGCAAACTGGCTTCCATACACTATCCTCATAATTAAATTACGTTTTATAAAAAAATGTGGTATATATCTTGCTATAAAATGTAAAGCCATCCCACATGACACACAGACAGTCAACCTGATTGTAAGAACAGATGCATTTCCCTTAAACATGACCCCATAGGCCTGATTTCTCTTCTCCCTTCCCCAAGAGTCTCAAATTATAGATCTTCCTAGGCAAGAAAGACATATAGTCTTTTTTACAAAGTAGCTCAAAGAGCAATTTTCATTGAAGCTCAGTATGCAGTAAACTGATTATATCCTCAGTTAAATACTGTTTTGGCAAGACCAATTAGCCTTCTGACAATGCTGAATCCTTTGAAAATACATGAGAAAACCACCAATATGCACGCAATTGCTCACTTGCAATAAGACACTTAGCAAATCACAACAACTGAACAAACATCCCACTAACATTCAGCTAAAACATTCACGAGTGGCCTACCCCAGTAGTTTGGCTAGTGTTAAAAGTATCCTATGAAAGTTAGGAAGCTTTGCTCATCAGCCCAGAGACAAATCAAAGCTGCAAGTCTCAAAGAAAGAAATAATCATGCCAAAGAGTAAACTTGAAATTCAAAGCATGTACAATTTAGGTGAAGGAGGCTGGACCTTCTAAAATGGTGGCTCAAAGTGAGAGATCATCATCCATAAGATCAAGAAATTGTTACATTATTGAATGTGTAAAAGCTCCCCCAAACTAAAGACAGTACCTACTGACCATGGTCTGCCTGACATTACAGAAGCAATGGAAGAGATCTCGCTTTGGGGTTTGAATCACAAATTAAGAATAATTAGTTCATTCAGCACTTGTGTATCTACATCAATCTGGCAAACTCAAGGCACACATGAGCAATCGAGCAGCATTTTCATATATAAAAATATAGAGAGTGTGTCATACAGGAGGAATAAAACAAAATCTGTCTATCTTCCACGGAAACTGAATAATACAGTAACATCTGCAGCAAACCATCCCTTCAGTTCCATCTTAGGAATTTCTATAGTGTCTATTAAACTCAATACTCATCAATTATGACTGAAGTTGAATTGATTAGAACTACAATGCTCCTTGATTTTAGTACTATCCATTACTGGGTATTTATTCAGTTACAGGGAAGTACAGGCAGTCCCCGACTTACGCGGATCCGACTTATGTTGGATCCGCACTTACGAACGGGACTTTTCTCGCCCCGGAGCTCGCGGGCAGCGGGACCGCCCAGAGCGCAGCGGTCCTGCCACCGCGTCCTCTGGGGCGAGAAAAGCTGCTCCGGGTCTCCCTGGTGTGCTGGGGG